CCGTCTATAAATGCAGTGCCCCCCACCCCCCCGATAGCACTAATGGCTTAAGCAGCCCCACCACCTTTAAGCTGCGACCCCCCAGTAGAGAATAAGCACTTTTCCTGATTGGAAATCCATCATCAGCCCCTGAAACGCTTTTACACTTTATAACTTTGGGCTCTGTTTTTGTAGCAGGCGCCATCCAACACGAGCTGAAGTGCAAAATTTCAGCCCTTTTTTTGGGGGGGGGGGCAGCTTTGTGAACCCGACAGCCGAGGCTGCCTGTGGCTCCAGGGTATCAGGCTGCATGGAGCATTTTTGCTCTTTGCCGGGCCTTAGCCAAAAATCACATTTTCCTTATAAAAGGGAGTCAGCCGCATGTTCCCCCCCTCCCCCGCTCTAATAAAGGGATCAGCCTTAATACATTCTGCCACACTGACTGGCCCGAGGACATCCCACTCCGGCAGGCCAGGCAGTCGGAGGGTCTGTCTAGTAAGTGGAACCTCACGAATGACAGTGGAAACAACTGCTCTCGTACCTGTTTTTGTTTCAGTCACTGCTAGTTGGAAGGAAATATTAAATTTTTTCCTGGCCGGTTCAGTGTAGATCAGAGAGCGGTTACTCCTTCCTATAAGTATCCCTTATTTTTGGGTAGGTGTTTTTCCCCCAAAAATAGCCCATGAAATAAGGTGTCAAACCAGTATGAAATGGCGCGGTGACACTGGACAGGGGTGGTTAGAGGCCGTGACCCACTGGCTTCCCTTCCCTGCCCTGACAGCAAGCTGCGGCACATCGTGGACGAGATGGTGGCGACGGAGCGTGAGTACGTGCGCTCGCTCAGCTACATCATGGAACATTACTTCCCCGAGATGGAGCGGGCCGACCTGCCGCAGGACCTGCGGGGAAAGCGCAGTGTCATCTTCGGCAACCTGGAGAAGCTGGTGGACTTCCACAGCCAGTACTTCCTGAAGGAGCTGGAGAGCTGCTGCAACCACCCGCTCCGTGTCAGCCACTGCTTCCTCAGACATGTGAGTGCGGGGGTCCGGCTGGGGCCCGCGGGGGCCAGTCCAGCTCGTGCTGAATGCCTGAGCTCCTTATCTCTGTACCATAAATACCACAGAAAAGGTTCTGACAGTAAAGACTGTCCATTAAAAGCTGTAACCTCTGACTGAAGTCTGAAAAGATACAAAATAACATCACAGTGGTAAAGAGCCATTTTACATGTAAAGTTTTCTCTTGTGAAACATTCTCACTGTCACTCTCTAAGATGACCAGTTTCACTGATCGGGGCATGTTGGAGAATCGTTCACCTTCCAGTGAGCATCATTACCTGGGTCCTCTAACGGAAACATTCAGACAGCTGCACAAACAGTCTCAGGAATTCCGCTTCTCGTGATCAGACTCTAGGTAGTTTACTAAGTGGGGTGGGTTCGTCCATCTCATATTTCCTCTTCCTAGCAATGTATCTTTCATAAATACAAAAATCACTCCACAGAAACGAATGAAAGCCACATAAAGCACATGGTTGAAGTATTTCAGGGCTCTTTGGCCACGTCTCGCTCATTTTTGCGGTAACTCCAGTCTGTCGGCTTAGCCAGAGGCTCGAGGCTGCGGCATTTTAATATGCAGAACCAACAACGTCTGCCTGGGCACCAAGTGAAGAATAGATTCCTCTAATTAGTCTGGAGCCCAACAGTCAACCTTTCATAGAAGGCTGCAGGAACTGATAAATGTGCTCTGAGGGATGTGTTCTTGGCATCTGAAAATATCCTCAAAATACTGTATGTTGTCTATGTGGAAAACATTAAACCCATGTTCTGCCATACAAAAGTCATTCCAAATAAAAGGAAAAGTGACTGTATGAAAAATGAGTTCCTCAATGGTCCTGGAACGTGGGCAAAGCGCGTGACTGACTGGCTCGTAATGTGCGCGTGTTTTTGTTTTTTTTATTGATCCCAGCAAGACCAGTTTGGGCTGTACGCCTTATACAGCAAAAACAAGCCCAAGTCGGATGCACTGTTGGCCAGCCACGGAAACACTTTCTTCAGGGTGAGCCTTGCGTCCGCATGGATACCTTCACAGACGAATACTGGGGGGGTAGAGTCATGCACAGACTCCATTAAAGCATAGTTCCATGGGTGGTCTTGTACCTGTAATGTTTTGACAGATTTGTGATTATATGGCAGCTTTAGTCTTTTCTGCTGGGAATTTCACTCATTATCCTTCATGGGAAAAAGCTGTGTGACCCATCTTTGAAGTATCTGCATGTGTGAGAGCTTTGCACCTTAAGCATGATCCCCCCGCCCCCCCTCCCCGCCGCCCAAAATGTGTGTTCTGACTACAGAACAAGCAGCTGCAGCTTGAAGATAAGATGGACTTGGCCTCCTACCTGCTGAAGCCCATCCAGCGCATGAGCAAGTATGCTCTGCTGCTGAAGGACCTCATCAAGGAAGTAAGCGAGGTACAGGAGCAGGAGCTGGCTTACCTGCAGGCCGCCGCCGAGATGGTGAAGTTCCAACTGCGGCACGGCAACGACCTGCTGGCCATGGACGCCATCCGAGACTGCGACGTGAGTGCCCACGTCCGGGCGGCTGCTCAGTACGCAGCACAAGGGCCGGTCATGAGAGTTCATTCAAGTCTGTGTGAAGGCAGCGTGGAAGGGCAGAGCCCTGGTTAGGACCATAGATCTGCTGGTTTGGAATCCTGAGGGATGTTCTTGGTTTCCTCTTAGGTCAACCTGAAGGAGCAGGGGCAGCTGATGCGGCAGGACGAGTTCACGGTCTTGTACGGCAGGAAGAAGTGCCAGAGACACGTCTTCCTGTTTGAGGACCTCGTGCTCTTCAGCAAGCCCAAGCGCATTGATGGCGGACTGGATGTTTACATCTACAAGCACTCCTTTAAGGTGATGCTGTTTAAAAATGATGCCGTTCAATTAATGAATTAAAGGAGAGTGTTGCCATTAAACTTTGCTTGGCAGGTATAGTTCCTGTGTGGTTGGTCAGTTCATAACCTCTTGATTGGTGCACCAGGCTGTGTGTGTGTCTGTGTGTGTCTGTGTGTGTGTGTGTGTGTGTTCCGAGGACCAGTGAAGTTCCACATCTGGGTCAATGAGAAAGACAGCATTAGAAACAATACATCTCAAGTTTGTGTCAGCATGTCCCCCCTCCTCCCCCAGACCGCCGACGTGGGAATGACAGAGACCTCTGGGGACAGCGGACTGCGGTTTGAGATCTGGTTCAGGAGACGGACCTCCAAGAATCAAACATACATCCTCCAGGCAAGCGCACCCGACATCAAGCAAGCGTGGACGTCCAGCATCTCCAGGATCCTCTGGCAGCAAGCAACACGGAACAAAGGTGACGTCCCTGTTAGTGAGAGCGGCCGCTTGCGGTTCTGTCCTGTGTACATATAGTCAGCATGGTTATACTGGTGTCTGCCCGCAGGGGCCTGTCTATCGATCTCCCTCAAGTGTCCCGTTACAGCCTTTAACTGTGTATCTAATTGTTCTGCAGAAATAAGAATGCAGGAGATGGTGTCGATGGGAGTGGGGAACAAGCCTTTCTTGGACATAAAGCCAAGTGACGCGGCAATCAATGACAGAGCCATCGACTACATAATGAAGGGCAGAGGTACTGGCAGTGCTGAGCCCGGTGGCGGCCGTGGGGGATTCCGGAAGCGTCGCGCTCTGACCACCTGTGTGCTCTCGCCTGCCTCTCCCAGGAGCCAGGACCAGGGCCTCCATAGCGGTTTCCCTCTTCGACCACTCCAACCCCTTCAAGCAAGCGCAAGTTAACGCGGCTGCGGGTGGGAGCCCGACCTCAGGGGGCCCCTTGTCCTCATCCCTGCTGGGGCCCCTCAACCTGCACATGTACAGCAGCCAGGCCCTGCTGTCGGGCGAGCGGCCCTTCATCCTGGAGGAGGACGAGCAGGAGCATGAGACCAGCAGTCAGCCCTCCATGAGTACGTCCCCCACCAGCCGTCCCAGGCCCTCTGCCCTCCTGCATCAGGGCTTGGCCCCTCTGACTTGTGACACTTTTCCCTCTGCAGCCACAGAGAGCTCAGAGTCCTCCTGTCCTTGCCTGTCGGGCAGCGGCTCCAGCAGCTCCGACAGCGGCTGCGTGTCCAGCCACCTTCCGGAGGCTCTGTCCGAGGAGCCGAACTCCCCCTGCGATTCCTCCTGCTACTCCAGCGTGGCCTCCCCCGTCGAGGACAAGCCACGCTTCAACAGCCAGTATATCTCAGCGGTGAGTGTGGGCAGGACGCTATGCACTGCTCTGCCCACATCGCCACACCTCCCAGTACGCCACACCTCCCAGTACGCCACACCTCCCAGTCTAACGGCGACAAGGCCAGGCTACTGCTACCAGACACTCACATTCTAACCCAGTTCCTCATGGCTTTCTTCATATTGCTTGCAGTTTCTTCATTTCTTTTCCAGACACTAGACTACGCACTACTCAAAAACGAAGCTGTACCGTAATGGGGGGGGCAGGTGTGGAGTACAGCCCACTGCAGGGGGCCACACACTCTGAAGCATGTAGGAATTACAGTCAGCTTGCTGAGTGTACCTTCATACCCACGCAATGTCCACACAGAGCAGAGGCGGGATTCAAACCAGCAACCCTAGAAATGCAAGGCAACAGTGCTAAGCCAGCATGCTAAGCCTCTTAAAAGCCCTTAATCCTCATTAATAAAGGTTTCAAAAGCAAACTTCTCCTGCAGATCATAAGCATGACTGGTTCAAGTTTCCCACTTTAAGTGCAGTATGAAATGCAAGAGAAATTTCATTTTATAAGAGACAGATACCGAAGGGGTGGCAGATCCTTGACAGGCGATGCTGTCACGTCTTAGATCACATCCCACAATCCTCAGCATCACAAGCGCAGGGAGTAAATGGTCAGCATGCCGACGCGCGTGTGTGTGTGTGTGTGTGTGTGTGTGTGTGTGTGTGTGTGTGTGTGTGTGTGTGTGTGTGTGTGTGTGTGTGTGTGTGTGGTGTCACACAAACCAGGACCCCAGTGACTTCATCCCCCACTTTCCCTCCATCTCCACCTAACAGCCCAGTAACAGCTGCCTCTCTCCACTTACAGAAGGCAGGCCAGATCATAAACCCATCCACCATAGTGTGAGCGTGGTAAGTGAGCACTCCTCTTCAGCTCAGGCTCCACCTCCCCACCACCTAACCTGCTTTTCCATTTCATTTACCTTTCTGTAGGCAGGCTGTGGGATGTGCATCCAGTCATGCTCATTTTGGATTGTTTTGTCTTTCAGGTCTGATGAAGCTCCTCTCATCAAGAAGCCAGTTTTGCCGTGAGGAGACTGAAGTATTTATAGCTCTCTCTGCCAGAACACCTCGTCTCAGACACTAAATGACCTTTAGTAAAGCACTGATAAGTCTCAGATATAGCCTTTAATTAAAGGGTTTTTTTCTCTCTTCCTTCCAAAACATGTTCAGTTGTGTTTGTGTTATAGTGAAAACTGTAAATAATTATATTGTAATAGTTTACAATGCAGTTAAACTGTCTTTTGACCACTTTGCTGTAGACTGCAATTAACAGCATGAGATGTACCTTCATGTAAAAAGGTATTTCCGAGGGGTACATGCATACTCTGGTTTAAAAGCAATGTGCTTTCTTTTTTAAAAAGGCAATTTTTCTACGACCTGGTCTTTTCCACATCTCTTCTCGTTGTTGTTGAACTGACCTGTGGTCAGGCCTCTTGTATCACTGTGACTCGCACTGTGGTTGCACAGGTCACTCTCTGGGTTTGGTAGTACTTCCATCTCAGAATAGTTCAGGGCCTCTGGTCCATCAGCTCAGGAGGCTCATGGCCCTGCTGACCTGATCCCCTGAGCAGAGTGTGCGCCTGGCCGAGGGTCCGAGGGGCCGGACAGGCCTGCCAGGGAGCAAAGAGGCAGCAGCTCGGCGCGGCTGATGGACGCCGTTTGAACACGCAAAAGTGTATATTGTAAATACTTTGCGCCAGTGGTGCTCTGCGATTGTACTTATAGATAACTTTGTACATGTATGTATTAACCAGCAAGACAGGGAATCACTTGTGCCATTCTTACCGTGTTCAAGAAGAAAAAACTTAATCCTCAGAAGTTCACACGTATTTAATAAAGATGGAGTCCGTTTCTTTGAATCCAGTGTTGTGTGTGTCTGTGTCTGCACTCAGATATAGAATTTATGTGCTCTGTGCTGCATCCTGCCTGTTGTGTGTGTGACCTGGACTTGTACCCAGTGACAGCGTCCAGGTTGCAGCACTTGGACTCTCAAAATGTGTCGTCAGTGATTACAGCCCCTCCCCCTCCAGTCCAGGGGTCCTGCGGGACTGTACATTTATCCAGGCTCATTCAGCAAAAAGACGGCTTGATCATCACATCAGCACCAGGCTTCATGGATGAGTCCCTTGGGTGTGCAGGGACCCTGTTGCACGCTGTGTGGTGCTGACTGCCAGCTTTCCTGCCAGTGAAAAGGGGACATTTGTCTGTCCCGAGGAAGCAGTGTCACTGTACAGCTCTCCATTCCAGCAGGCACTTATTACACTGCCTGTAATGCTTAGCCAAGGGTAAGGTGACCTGGCAACGGGGTTAAGAAACGTGTGATTTAGCATCGGACATAATAACGATCTTGGAAGTTACACAGTCTAGTGCTACAGGACCCTTCAGAGAAGTCGATGTTTGTACAGTTGGCTCATCTAGTGTTTTGGGTATTCATGCCAATTAAAATATAATTTGTAAGACTACAGGGGACCAGAACTGTGAACTTTTTGTCTGGGATGTGTAGAAGCATCGCATGAACACACACATGCGTGTGCATCAGCTCCTATGATGCCGTCACTGACTGCCCCTAACACCAAACTGCAGTGTGGAGCAGTCACACCAGTGCCTTCCCTCCCACTGTTTTTCCATGTGCTGCAGTTTTCTGCCATAGCCACACCCACAGATGCACATAACAGGATGAAGTTCAGACACAAGGCCTTCACCCACTGCAGGAGACCGTCTGAATTGTGCTTCTTTTTCCTGAAGTAGGGGATCTTGAAAAAGCCCGGCGACAGACGGCCCAGCATCCCTCTGCTCGGTCAGTGAACACAGCACAGACATCCCCGCCGCCCATCCTCATGGCCTAGCAGCAGCCTAAGCTTACCCACTGGAAAGAGGGCTGTCGGGGTCCAAGGGTCCCTGTCAGAAAGGCTGGGAACCGCATTTCCAAATAAGACTGAAGCAAACATGCCACATCTGGAGAAAAATGTCAAAAACTCTTCATTCAACATATCTTCAGAAAGGTCAGAGCTTTACAAAGTCATAACTGCATGTAGCAGTCCAGACACATGATGCTTATTTTAGAAACCTATCATACCCACACCAACAGCAGTTTGTAGGCTATGATATAGTGACTGAAAGTGATACAATGCCTCCATCTTGTGGTGATATCCTGCAATGACATCTTTATAACAGCTGTCGTGATTTACAAGTTATACTCCACGGGTGAAATTATTTTTAATCCAGATTCCTCCACTGCCTTCACTTGCAGTTTTCACCACAGGTCGAATCAGATTTAGAAGAAAACATAAATCCATTAACCCCTGTCTTACGAAAATCTTGCTACCCTCACGCTTTTGTAATCATTTATGACTTAAACCAGCAGTGTAATTAAACTCACTCACTCCGGCTTTTGCTCTTCAGCGCCCCCGTTGTGAGTCTGGCCTTTATTTCAGAAGCTTAAGTTATGAAGCGGAGTTCCAGCTGTGGTGGAAAGGCCGACGTCCTCACCTTGGTATGTAAATGAGGCTCTCGGTGAAACAGCCCCCTGCTTTCCCTCTGGCCAAGGAGGGTATTTGACCCACAGTGCACTGCCCAGGGAAGGCTGGGCTCCACTGGCTCCTTTGCTGCAGACCTGTAGGGGGAGCCAAACCACAAACATAGCTCCTTAGTGCCATTAAGCCATCACAACAAAGGCCAACCCTATACAAACTGAGGCAAGGCCATCAAATTATTAATTTGTTTACTTAAAGGGGCCCTATAATGCTCATTTTCACTGATCACGATTTTATTTTATTTTTTACATGCTTCAATGTTCCCAAAACACACTGTCTCATACTGTACATATCTATTCACTGACTTCGACTCTGTCTGAAGCACTCTGTTAGAGCTTTAATCCCCACCCCCGATGAGATCAGCGTGCTCTGATTGGTCAGCTTGTCCGATTGGTCTGCTTGCCCTACACGGTCCACCCGTCTTGCAGTCTGCAGACAGATCATTGCAGATAGGCAGCCAATAAGGATTGTGTTATGAGGTGACCTCACCATGTCATGGAAGTAAGGACTGGAATTTCAATGAGGCGTTTCAGGCCGATTAAAATAAAGTGGCTTCTGTGGTGAGATTTACTCCCTTTGTACTTTGGGTCTCAATATTTCATTTGGGTCTTTAATATTTCATTATCTGTACTGTTTGCATAAACTACATATCAATATCAAATTTTCAGATTCAGATTTGTCGGTGGCCTTTTAATTGAGAACATTTTTAGAACACTACACATAAATCCTAAATCTCCTAAATAAAAGGGGTTTTGTGTGAGGTGTAGAGGGAATTTACAGCATTTCTACAAAGACTTCTCAAACCCCGCATCCTGTAAGGTGCCTCTTACATGGAACAGGCCTTTGGTCCTGCACTGCCAACCCCATGCCAGTATCCTATCACAATCCACTGCTGACAGGACCCTGGTCACCATTCACCAGGTCACTGGTTCACCATTGGACAGGCAGAAGCCCCTCTCTTCAGTTCTGTGGAAAGTCAGACATCCTTGTTTCACAGTCTACGCTCATCAAAGAATAAGCCTGTGGTTCTGGCAGCCTGGGATTGTTCTCCCACAGGTAAGACTCATTTAGTGCATCTGAAACCCAAAGTTCCCTTCCTCTTCCCTGGGATAGCAGCCTGGGATTGTTCTCCCACAGGTAAGACTCATTTAGTGCATCTGAAACCCAAAGTTCCCTTCCTCTTCCCTGGGATAGCAGCCTGGGATTGTTCTCCCACAGGTAAGACTCATTTAGTGCATCTGAAACCCAAAGTTCCCTTCCTCTTCCCTGGGATAGCAGCCTGGGATTGTTCTCCCACAGGTAAGACTCATTTAGTGCATCTGAAACCCAAAGTTCCCTTCCTCTTCTCTGAGAAGAAGCAGGGACTCAGCTGATGAACAGAGCCCATTTCCTGCCAGCTCCTTGTTCTCACACCAGGCTCTGAAAGGAAATCAGCATTATTCTTTTTCACAGCAGAGGGAATGTCCCAGACTGTGGTTCACTTGGCTGCCAAGTGTTTTCTGTATATTATTTAGGTCACAGTTTTTATGAAGATTTGTATAGCTGGATAAGCCTCAGTGAAGAAGTACTTTGGTAACAAAGATGTCTGAATATCAGACTAGACGACTCCAAAATGGGTTTGCATCTATTCATTTGTAGACACAAACTGGACAGAGTAAATAAGGCACTGCTGGTGAACCAATGACTGTAAAATGCTGGAAAAGCAGAGGGCTGGGGATCCATGTGGTGGGAGTAACAAAGCAGGACCTTCATCTGAAGGTTCACATCTCCTCCAGAGTATCACACAGAGCCGGGGTCTGAAACTCCTCAATTTCATGGCAAAGCAAAGGCCACAATTTATATAATGAACATTATGGCTACATATAGTCCATAGTCCATCTCAAACCTAATAAAAATGTATTGATGGTATTTTAAGATTTTGGTGTTTTGAAGGTGTTATAGCACTGAAATAGTCTTATACACGTCATACCTGAATTAAGGGCCTTGAGGTAAGGAGCGTACCAGTGGGTCTCCACGTAAACTTTAATGACTCTGTAAACTGTGAATGTTGTCAGTGTGGGAGACCAGGGTGCAGCTGTGAAAGTTCCAGTTAAAAAGAGTGAAAATGAAAGGAGACGTGGGGAGAACAAACCAATTAGAGCATGAGAGACTATGTGTGTGTGTGTGGGGGGGGATGTCTGTGTGTGTGTGTGTGTGAGGGAGAGAGAGAGAGGCTTCTTGTTCAAGAATTCCCACGCCTCAATAGGCCCCACCCAGCCTGCTGAGGTACTCAATTACACCACAGAGCTTACTCCACATATTGTAAGGTGAGCCCTGTGCTGTCATGTATGATTTACTACCATTCAGGTTACTCCTCATATTAGAATCAGAATCAAAATCAGAATCACTTTATTTCGCCAAGGATGTTACACATACAAGTCATTTGCATTGGTGCATGCACACGTGATTGACAGGTAACATATTACACAAGCTGGACAAGTGCAGACCATTTACATATATTCAAGATAATGTTCCAGATAAATCAAGTATGTGAAACTGTACTTATAAGGAACACACAGATAGAGTTACGTTTACTTTGCACAAATGAGAAATGGTGCATTATGTGAAAGAGTTCAATGTGGGTGTTTAAAGTGCAGAGCATCCAGCACTGTTAATGAGTGCCACAGCTCTCGGGGAAAGGATGTTGACATGCCTTGTTGTGATGGCCTTGCTGAGAATATACTGCCCTCCAATGGTGGAGTCTGGGTACTGCACCAGAAGGATACTGCATGCAAAAAACAGACACTGATTCTGGTCTCTTACCTGGAGGCTTAGAGATGTGTCTGCAAATTCATCACCACCTTTCAGTTTTATTAATATACGTATTTATTAGTTATTTCATACCTCTTAGATTTTCTGGTTTGCCTGTGAATTCAGTCATGCCTAACTCCTGGTGCTTCAGAAATGTTTTATAATCACTGAAGTGGAGATACACCGATCGACCTGCTAGGGACCGTAATCGGTCGATTTTCATCGTGTTCGACCCGGACCAGAAACCGGTCGGTCAGTCTCATGTATTTCCGATACCAAAGCTGTACCAGACGTCTATGGGCCGTGATGTACTTCACGCGAGGCGACGCATACGCAACGCGACACGTACGCAATGCAAGCAGCGTACCCTCTGTACTTGCGCGCGTAGTTTACGTCTGTCTGGAGGGTTAAAGGTGGTGTCCGCCAGGGAGCAGTGCGTTTCAGTGATTATGAAACATTTCAGGAGTACCAATGTTAGGCATTACTGAATTCACAGGCACACCAATCTTAGAGGCATGAAATAACTAATAAATACT